GTATTTCTAGGTAGTGCATAATAATTATCTTTGAATGTTGACCTGCTGAGTTATTCATAACTGTTTTTATTTTCTTTTTTATTGTGAAAATACTGTACAGAGGGGTTACAATTACATGGGCAAGATAATGAGTACATTTCTTATCAAGCATTGTAGCCTCCTCCTTTGTTTCCCCTTCCCATCCCTTCCCATCCTCCTCCCCATCACCCAATCCTCCTCCCCCCCCACCAAAGTTGTAAAGTTCATTTTTCCACATAATGACTTGTACATCTCATTATTGCAATGGGTCCACCTGTATCCCTATTTAAACCATTTGTTTTTTCCCTTCCCCTCCACAAATTATACCAACCTCAAATACAGTGAAAGCAGGGGTTATACCATGGGGGAGGGACATACAAAGCAACAAGAAATAATCTTATAAATGTGTTAGAAACAATCACCTGAAAGAAAAATATTGTGAACTTTTTGCCCAGGCTGGCTTCTAACCTGATTGTTCACACCTCTCTCTACCTCCAGAGTAGCTGAGATGGTAGATGTGAGCCACCCTGTCTAGCTTCTCTGTTTATATCAAAAGATTAGTTCAGAACATGTTCTAATGTTAGAAGTAAAAAGTACTTAGTCAAAGAAAAACAAGTATATGTACTACGGTTCCCTCCTCCTTATAATTCAGTGAGTTGTAGAAATGAGCATGTAGGTATGTGCACTAGATTTCATTGTCTTGTCTAGCATCCTGGGGCCAATCAGTAGAAAGATACACCGCGTGCAATGAGACATGCTCACTAGATGGCAATGGTATTCTACAGTTACCTACAGGATAGCCTTACATCATTTGCATTAGTGAAACAAGTAGGTGTTTCCTGAGATGAATGAAGACATCACATTTCCCTTCATCTTTGCAAAAACAATTCTGTTTGCAACACCTATCATTATTATTTCAATTATTTGAAGTATGGATATAAGAAAATATCAAATCCAGTGGAAAATTAGACTGATTTTGGAAGTATTTACATAGATAGCCTTACTTTGAGATTTTTATATTTCTTTAAGCTTAGGTATTTATTTTTCATGCTATGTCAAAAGTGTTATAACACAAAATAACTGCTAAAGATAGTATAATAGAACCTCAGAATGTTTATTTTGGAATATACTTCCTTACATTTAGAGTTTTATAAGCAACTTGGGAATAAAGTTATATGACTTCATACCACTAGGGTTTACTTAGATGACTTAGTCAACTTGGATACCTAATACATAAATGTTACTGGTTGAGAAACTTAGATGGCAAATAAGTACATGTACTTCTTACCCTTAATAACCTAAGGTTCAGGTGAGCCACAGAACACATTTAAATCAGAAATAGAGACATCTTACCTAGACAAAGGTTAGTGGTAGTTATTGAAGATTTAGTAATAAATGATACAGATAGGAATTTTTTTCCCTATCTTGTTGTTCTTTGCTATTTTTTTAACTAGAGTCCAACTTTGCTTGATATTTGTCAAGACTCATACGGCATATGTTGGAGGTTAATGATAGAGTATAAGCTTACCTGGTAGAGACGTATCAATCCACTCTCCCCCAAAAGATTCTTTGTGTAGACTACTTACCATTTCCATTAAATGAGCTTTTCCAATAAAATAATGTGGTTTATGTTTATGCTAACCTTGCACTGCTGGTTGTTGATGTGTTCAACACATAGCTGGCTATCATTGGGATTTCTTCAGAAGCCTGAAAGTATTTAGAAGGTACTAATCTGAGAGTTAGTGCTGCCTTAGATAATTACTCTTTTTGCCAAGTACTTAATAAATCTACTGACAATCCTCTCTGATTAAAAAGCTTTCCCTGATGCTGCCTTCTGGGAGATGTAATGTAGATCTCAGGCAGAGCCATTCTTTTTTTTTTTTTTTTTTTTGGTCTGGTCATAGGGCTTGAGCTCTGGGCCTGGGCGCTGTCCCTCAGCTCTTCAGCTCAAGGCTAGCTCTCTACCACTTGAGCCACAGCGCCACTTCCGGCTTTTTTCTTTTTGCTTATGTGGTGCTGAGGAATTGAACCCAGGGCCTCAGGCATGCAAGGCAAGCACTCTACCACTGAGCCATCTTCCCAGCCTCAGGCAGAGCCATTCTTAAAAGTGTGAGTTTATTTCATTGTAATATGTTCAGTACTTGGGTGGGCAGCTCTTCATCCCTCCTAGAATATCTGCCTAGAGAACTTCCAGTAATAGTTTGGTCCTTGGTTAGCTTAGTCCTAAACATATCTTAGACAACTGTATAATGAAGCTGGAGATTGAAGTCACACTTTGATAACCAGAAGTGTGAGGATAAGAACAAAGTTTACAACACTTTTCACAGAAAACTTTATCATTGCAAAAGACATTTTCTATAATATGTCAAGCTAGGTCTTTCTTATCTTGATATTATGAAAAATTACACTATGTTAACATCAACTTATTATAGATTTAATTCCTTAAAGTATTCTTTATGATACAAGGATGTATTATTTTGGATGTCACAATGATAAATGTGAAAAATCTGATGTGCTTTCTTTTAAGAGAGGTAAAAGAAACACTTGATAAATTTTAAATGTTTTAAACCCTATTTGCTCTAATCCTTTTGTTAGTAGAAGTTTGGCCTAGATAAGGAGGGAAAGTATGTTATTTACACAGTTTTCCAAATATTTTGATAGTATGTAAAGAGGTTTTTAAGATATAATTTTTGCTGGTTACAAGACTCAATAGCATTTGGAAGATGAAAAGCAGAATTTCAGGACAATACAAAGAAGACTACCTGAGAGCCTGATACATACCATTGATTGCTACAGCGGAAATTTCAGGAAAGTCTGAGTGAATTCAGTGGCATGGGGGTGGGAGGTGTTTTACGCTAGGAGGATATGGTTGAAAAAACCTCTTGCAAAAGAGGAAATCATGCAGAAAATCCAGGAGACAAATGAGTATACTTGCTATACTGTAGCAAGGGAGTTCTATAGCAAAGTACTACATTAAAGATGATTTTCAAAATTGAAAATTTTGATGTTTTGAGAAAAAAGAGCAACTATGGATTTTAAGCAGCATAGTGATCTGACTTTAAAGTGGCCTAAAAGAGACTAATAGAAATTTGTTAATGATTTTGAGTGAACCTAAAATGTTGCAGTTCGTAGTCTAAAGATTAAGGCTGAGACAATGTATTTTTGTACGGTTTTTATTGTAAAAATACTGTAAAGAGGGGTTACAGTTACATGAGCAAGGTAATGAGTACATTTCCTATGGAGCATTGACAATGTATTATACTAGAATTACTGACATTCTTTATAACCTTGTTTTTAATTGAATCATAAGAAAATAGCTTTGGATGTAATTTTTTTGTCCAAAGTCCCAGGATGAATAAGGTTGAGAGTGTAAGGAAACTGATAAATAAGGAAAAGGTATTGTAGTTTAGAGTTTGTATCCTGCCCAGGTTTTTTTCCTGCAAACTTACACAGGGCTTCAAACTTTGGCCTTCGAGACACTAAGGTGTGAAAGGAGACAAGCTGAATTGAATCTTCTACTGTTTCCTAACTTTGAAAAACAAGCTTTTTTTTTTTCTTTTTTCTTTTCTCTATAATAAACCAGTAAGCCTTTCAACTCATGACACACCCAAAGAAACACATTTCAATGGACAAAAGCTTCACTGGAAACATTTGTCTCTTGTATCAGGGGAGACCACTGCTAGGGGAATACTTTATTGAGTTTATGGCTCTCAGAGGTAGTTTGAGAAGATCAGAAAACTTGATTCATCTGTAACTTGGTCTTTCTCCAGTTTTCAATCTATAGGAAAAGTAGGCCCCTCCATGCAGT